ACATGGCAATTTTTATATATTTTATATATATATATATATATATATATACATATATAATTAGAGACATTTGTATATTTTTTCATGACTATACATTTTTTTTTTTTTAATTTTTTGTTTTTATTGCACGATATTTTTTCAAGTTGTTACGTTTTACTTTTATGATTTTAATGTACTACTTAAGTTTTATTTTAAATGTGTATTATTTTAATTTTCCATTAAATTTTTTTAATTTAAAATAAAATACAAGAATTTTCTTGTATCAATTTTTTTTTAGTTACGAAGAATCTATGTGAATAAAAAAAATTTTTACCTTAAATACTATTAGTAGCTGAGATTTATCGTAATTAACTATTTAGTTGTTAAGAAATAAATAATGCGTAATTGTAATGCAATAAGTCATAGATAATAGTAAATTGTACATACATACACTTCACTCTATTACCAAGTATTAGACTTTTAAAAAATAAACTAAAATAATTGATTAATTATTTATCATTACTCGTGAGATAAAACATTAATAAACAAGAGAAAGTACAGTTTAATTTTTGTCTCAACGCCTATCTTGATAATTATAATAAAATAAACTATTAAAGGTGCAATAATGTTGGTATTAAAAGTAAAACTTGAAATTGTTGATAAGCAAATATATGATATAATTTGTGCCTTAGAATTGTGAACAAATTGCTATTAAAATTAATCATGTATTATGACTTGACGAGATTAAAAAATTCAATTTTTAATAAAAAAATTTACATGTTAGAGAATGAACAAGCTCACTTATAATTTACCATTTACCATTTATGAATTGTCTTTTAATTTTATCAAATCAGGATTTTTATGAAAATGAATTTTTTAAAAAACCCCAATAGTAAATTTGATGATATTGGATTTATTTATTTAATTAAACCTTACGAATAAACCAAATATTCGTAAGGTAATGTAGAGGATTTTATTCTTAGGTCTAATCTTTTGCTAGTCCTCAGTAATTATTTCAAGGCAATACACTAAGTGGTCATTTGATCCTAATAATTATTATAAAAAAATTATTATTATTACCTTGGTGAAAAACGTAATAGTAATAATTATTTTTTATTTTAATTTTATATATATATATATATATATTACAGTGCCTTGTGGATCCAATTCTAATGATTATAATTGTATATTTGACTACAAATTTATGTAAATGTATTATGTATTACATATTTATTAATAATATATAATGAAATTATAATTCTTATTATTACTATTATTATTGATATTATTAAAATAATTATTTTAAATTTAGGAATATAAATATTTAATTTTTTATTTGTAGTAAAAATTAAAAATTTTACAGCTACTCGTAGAATACATCGGAATGCACCCACTATTGTATTCTTATCTGCAAAACTTTCGTCCGCAAACACTAACAAGGATATTACATAATTTAATTATCGGATCATTATTATCAATTATCTTGGGTAAAAAATAGTATGTTATCTTTGAAAAATTTTTCCGTGATTTTTTTTTAAATCAAGCGCTAAAATTTACGTGACGGGTTAACTTTATCTTTATTCATTATTTTTTATTCTACGAATATCATATAATCATGCAAATAATGTTTGTAGGTTTTTATTTACAAATAATTAATACTGAAGCACTAAAAAAATCTTTTTTTTTTTGTTGAAATTTTTTTACTCATAAACGCTAAAAATTTCTTTAAATGTTTTAAAAAATTTTAATAGATAGATAAAATTTTTTTTATTAATATTGATTTATAATAATAGTTATTAAATTATAATTGATATTAAAAAATTGGTAAGCTTACAAATAATTAATGTCTATAATAAAATAAAAAGTCATAAAATCCATTATTTAATTCGAATATTTATTAACAAATTTTCCTATTATATGACATTATCAATAGCTTAGTCATAAAGTCGATCACAGAAATAAATAAGAAACATTCATACAGACATCATATTTTAGTATTATCTAACGATTATAATAAAATTACAATTTTCCATTTATATTTTTGTTAATTATTATTATTTTTCATATCGTTTTGCTTCTCAAACGACGGAATTCAGCGAGCAATTTTCTATTTGATAAACTATAATATAAATATATTTATTTTATTAATCTCTTTTCATTTAATATTGATTTTTTATTGACATGTCGTTTCGCAATCAAAATAAATAATAGCTCAATAAAAAATCAAGATATGCGAGTACATAAATTTATAAAAATCAATGCTAATAAACAAAAATATAAATCGATACACGTATATATATATATTACATATTTATAAATAAATTTGACTAAATATCGGTGGGCGATATTTTAGTATTAAAAAAAAAACAAATTTATTAATAATTCATTTTAAAAAATTATATACTTATAATAAATACGTATGTATAATTATGCGACTTCGATGCAATATAAATACGTCATTACAATTAATTATAAAAAAATAAAGACATACACAAAATCCCTTTTATCTAATTTACGACAAATCATTTTATAAATTATAATTTCAATTAATATAATAATAATAATAATAATAATAATAATAATAATAATAATAATAATAACAAAAA